TTGTGTGTGATTGGTATATACTTTTAAATTTAAAAATATATACCAATCTGAAGAATCGCGTAGCGTCTTTCGCATAGGAAAATTTTTCGATTTTAACAATTGAGGTCCTGGAACAATTCTAACAGGGAGAGGCTTCGTCCGCGCATATCACTGGCTTCATCGGTCTTCATCGGTTCAGTCTCTGCGATCTCGCTACATTGCTGAAATATAAAAGTATGTGTGATATACACGTATAATATAAAACATCAGATGGGTGATAAAAAAAGTGCAAACGCAATATTAAAAGTAGATAAAAATTATTGCAGGAAAGGGGCACTGGAATTATATTTTTTTTTCGTCACACAATTTCCAATATAGACGAAGAGAGAATATAATTACATTGCCCCTCTTCTTGCTAATGTTGACGCGTTGACTTGTATGAAAGCGCGCAATTTATGACTACGTTTATACGATCCGATTTACGCCGCAATTATAACATCGATATTATTATTAATACAAACGTTTAAGGGTGACGTGTAAACGTAGGGTGCTTTCCATTTAGCGACACAAGTCGACACAAGTATCATTCTATCTTTGTTGTTCACTGTTGTTGAAAAAAGACAGAATGATGCTTGTGTCGACTTGTGTTGCTAAATAGAAAGCACTCGTAGTCATCTCGCTCGTAAAAGCGAAGCGTTCGCGCCAGTGATGTCAGAAAGAATTAAGCTTCGAGCAACACGCATCTCCCCCCCCCCGCCCTTATGGTTGCGTGTTGCTCAAAGCTCGCTTTTAAAGGCTTTGTTTACCGAGCACTTAATACGCGTACCAAATCCTATACGTTCTATAGGTCAGATAAGTCCTATAAGTCAGATAAGAGTCGGTAGTCGCGATCGACAGTTGAGTCGGTCTTTGTAGTCTTGCGACAGGAGCTTAACAGTGGTATGTGGCGTATGTACAATATGTGACGTAATTTACGGTCTTGTGGAAGGATCAAATGTAGTGTTAATATACAGTGAGCGTCAAAGATGAGTATACATCTAAAATACATATAAACATTAAGTAACAGTATAATGTGTAACATTAATATTATAATTTTTCATATATAAGGCATGCTACATTGCAATTACGTTGCAGTTATCTTGTTAAGTGAGAAATTATAATATTAATAGGAGCTTTCCGGCAAGACACAGTGTAACACAATGTTCACTAGTGTAAGTGAGACACACTGATACGTTCTCTCTCACACTAATGGACACTGGTGTCGCCTGTGTTACCTGCTGGAAAGTTCCCAAAAATGTTACGTTACCGTTAAGCCTGAGACACAATGCGAGGCAATAGCGATAGGAATAACATAGCACAAATTTCAATCTATAAGAAACCACATTCCATTGGTACGTGGTTTCTTATAGGTTGAAATTTGTGCTGTGCTATTTCTATCGCTATTGCCTCGCATTGTGTCTCAGGCTTTACTTTATCTTTACTGGAATTCTAAAGTACAATATTAGAGAACTGTGTTTTCATTGACATTATTAATAACTTTTCATTTCTCTATTCACTGCAGTCCTCCAAGAAATTAGACAAAGCATTACCTTCGCGTCTATTCATCCGCTTCTCCTCATTTTCATGCCTCGCCTTGGAATGTCGGAACCACTCCATAACTCGTCGTTGTATTTTTCTCTGGTCGGAATCCGGGATATTGTGAAGTATGGATCCTGTAAACATTTTCTTTGTTTTAACTTTCTTATTTTATATTCATTGAGATAGAGAGTGCATAAATTATATTTGAATAATTTTGCTTTTTTAGTTTTATAATGCAAAAAGATTAAAAGTACACAAAATTTTATTCACATAAATTGATTCATCGAAAACTTTTTAAATTTGATTAAAATAATAAACAATTACGAATATCTACGTGGTGTCGAATGGAAAATTGCTGAAAATAAACAGCTGTCATTTTCAAATGCACATAGAGAGGAAGCAGTAAAAGTAAAATATTTTCTAAGAGAGGCATTTTTATTTATACATAGAGTAAAGACAAATATCGGAAATATACTTATTATTTAATAAACGATTTATAAAAGATGGTTCAAGATAATAAAGGAAATTGATCAGAGCTGTGAGAATTAAAAGCAATGAATGGCATCTCAAAAGAGACGTAAAGTTACGTAAAATTATTTATAGTTTCCGCAAGAGATATGATTTTGTTTCAATGATGTTTTAATGATGCACTTTAAATATGTCATTAAAAAAAACTTTATTATAAATGATAAGAATGTCTTTACTCTATGTGAAAATAAAACTGCTGAATGTCCTCTATTTAAAGATATTTTAATTTTTTCTGCTCCCTACGTGTATTTAAAATAACAGCTATATATATAGGTATACATATAGGCCCGTATTCAGAACTGCACGTTTCAGAACGGTCAATTTTTAACGCACATAAGAAACAAAAAAATTAAAAAATTTTTTACAGAGGACATTTTGCATTTATTTACATTTAAACAAAGATAATTGTGGAAATAATTTTATTACTACGAACAAACGTTTATTTAAATGCTAATTAATATATATATATATATATAACAGTTAATTTCAGTAATTTATCAAGGGCGCATTGTACTATATTGTCCGTATTCGGAATGCGCTTTTAAAAATGTTAGCGCGCTTTTTTGTCATTCTATCCTTATTTCACGTTTAATGAACAATAAAGATAGAATGACAAAAAAGCACGCTAACATCTTTAAAAGCGTTCTGAATACGGACCATGCATATAGTACAATGCGTCATGATAAATTACTGAAACTGTTATAATTAAATTAGTATTTTAAAATAAACGTTTGTTTGTAGTGATAAAATTATTTCCAATCTTTATTTAAATGTAAATATAAATGCAAAATGTCATCTGTTAAAAGATTTTTTTTTTTTTGTTCCTTATGTGCGTTAAAAACTGACCGTTAATTATAGTCAACAAATTTCCGTGACACCCTGTAAAATAACACAGAGAGAAAGAGCGAGAGAGAGAGAGAGAGAGAGAGAGAGAGAGAGAGAGAGAGAGAGAGAGTTTGCATTCGCGCGCGCGCGCGCGGTGTGTGTGTGTGTGTGGTGCAGTTTTTTATCTGTCATTATGTGTATATATATGAAAGCATTACTTAATCACATATTTTTACGTTTAATTAATATTTAAACTTACTGAAAATAACTTTCATCACTTCCAGTTTCTGCAGTGGTTCCTTTCCGCGTCGGCCTTCCCAGTTATATCTCTCCGCCAATTTATTGGAGAATACTTTATACAATGTTCTCTTTACGGCATCATCGACACTTGTCCCTCCGATGGATTTGATATATCCGCGCTATAAAATAAAAAGGTAAAATAATATATTATTATCAGATTAAATAATTCCTTAAAATTCTTTTAAATTCTCAATCTTTCCAATCATTTTTTTATAACAATTTTAAATTATTAATAATCTGAACGATAAAATGTATGCAATAAAAGCTTGTAAAACTTCATGGTAATTGTGAGTTACAGTATTTGTTCAATTATCAAAATATAATTTCGCGTCTGATTATTTTATTGGTAAAATATTTATATCTTATATATATAAATTTATATGCGTTTACTTACTATTTCAGTGTTATGTTGGGAATTTGACGCTTTCAAGATCTCCTCAACTTCCGCTAACTGAACTACGGTTTGCAAGGGAAACCGGTTTTCAGCGCCCTCAAAGGAAATTTGTGTTCTCTCACATTCTGTGTCTTTATTAATTTTGTCTACTATGATGTCTACTAAGGTCAGTATTTGCCTCACATCATATTTTACTGATGCTACTTCCCTCGTTAATTTTTTTAAATGATCAACTACAAATATTATTAGTATTTATTTTCTTGAAGGCAACGTGTAATACGACTGATTTATAAAATCAACATGATATGTAATTGTAATGTATCAATAGCATATAAATTTATATAATAAATGTGTTAACGTTTATAATAATAATATAAAAAAATACAAAAACATATAATAAAAAAACGTTATAAAATGTGCATAGTATATAAAATATACGAATAGCTTATAAAACATAAATTAGTCGCATTACACGCTGCTTTCAAACGATAAACCAGAAATATACAAGAATAAATGTAAACTGTTGAAAATATTTAAATTACACGCGCGCGCGCGCGCGTGTGTGTGTGTGTGTGCGCGCGCGCGCGCGCGGGTGTGTGAACGTGTGCGTGAGCGTGTGCGGGCGTGCGTGCGTGCGTGCGTACGTGTGTGTGGGTGTGTGTGAGAGAGAAAACGATTAAAATACACAATACTGCGGACATTGATATGTATAAAATCATATAAAAAAATGATTATTAAAAACATTATAAAAAGGACCAGTAAAGAGATTATTAAAAAATATTATTAAATTATGCGCATTTATATTTATATATATATATATATATATATATATATATATATAATAATGCGCATAATTTAACGATAATATTTTTTAATAATCACTTTAATAATACTTTAAGTACTTTGTTTAATATAACCTTTTCAATAATCCTTTTTTATAATAATTGAGTGCATAATTGTGTATTTTAACCGTATTTACACACACACACACACACACACACACACACACACATGCATTACATTTAAGCTGCGTTCGGAAACATCACACGAGTGCACACCGGCCGCCAAAACTCTATTCTATGCGTTAGACCTGTTCTACAATAGAGTCGTAAGCTGTAAGACGTAAGAAATTGACCAATCACAGTCGATTTTTCTTCTATTTTAATTCGTCTGTGATTGGTCAATTTTTTATGTCTTACAGCTTACGACTCTATTGTAGAACAGGCCTAACGCATAGTATAAATTTTCAGCGGCCGGTGTGCATCCGCGTGATGTTCCCGAACGCAGCTTTACTTACCAATTGGACCTTCTGCGTGTGAAATTGATTATTAAAATTTTCCTTTTCCTTTTCAATTTCTCTGTACGTATACTTATTCTTAGTAGCTCGGCCAATTTT